GTATGGCATATCTTTTTCTCTTCTTTCCCTTGCAATCTATCTGGTACTTATGTTTAAAGTACAACTTTTGTAGAAAATAAATAATTACTGTTTAAAGCCTCTAAATTTTGGCATGGTGTTTTTGCAACAAAAGTTCAGTAATATAACTATATTTTGCAAATATTTTATGTTAACTACTTATTCTTGGTCTGTCATTGAAAGAGATGTGTTGAAGTCTACCACTGTAATTGTGAATTTGTCCCTGTCTCCCTGTAATTCTATGAATTTTCCCTTTATACATTTCAATACTATTCTTAGGTGCACAGAAGTTTATGACTATTATATATTCTTGGTAGATTATGTTTACCAGCATGAAATATCCCTCTTTATGTCTTTTAATGCTTTCTGCCTTAAATTCTATTTAGTCTGTTATTAGCTTTGCTACACCAGATTTTAGAGGTTAGTACTTGCTATCTATTTTTTTTTTAACATTTTGCTTCATACCAGGGATGAGTGACACCTTTCTAGCTATGACCTTAGAGAGGCAAATGAATATATTCAATTCTAAGTTCCTGGAAAGCTTATAATTAGACTTTTAAAATTTAACCAATCTGAAAATCTCTGACCTTTAATTAGCAGTTGGATTCAATTACATTTATCACGGTTGCACATATATTTGCACATGGTTTTTTTTTAAAATAAATAAATTTATTAAACATTGTCATCGTTGCTGGGCGTGGGCTTTCTCTAGTTGTGGCGAGCAGGGGCTACTCTTTGTTGTGGTGCGTGGGCTTCTCATTGCGGTGGCTTCTCTTGTTGCGGAGCACGGGCTTTAGGCACGCGGGCTTCAGTAGTTGTGGCATGTGGCTTCAGTAGTTGTGGCTTGTAGGCTCTAGAGCGCAGGCTCAGTAGTTGTGGTGCACGGGCTTAGTTGCTCCGTGGCATGTGGGATCTTCCTGGACCTAGGGCTCAAACCCGTGTCCTCGGCATTGGTGGGCAGATTCTTAACCATTGTGCCACCAGGGAAGCCCTTGCACTTAGTTTTGCTACCTCATTTTGTATTTTCTGTTTACCATGATTTAAAATATATTTTTCTCCTTCAATGTTTCCCATTTGATTAACCAAATTTACTTTATTCTCTTTATTTTTGATTATGAATTTAGAACTTACACATACTATGGACATACATACTTTAAGAAAACTAGGCAGAAATTTAAACATTGTATTTAAATGTATATATTTTTAATAATGTACATGGTTAATCAATATATATGGCTTTCCTCAGCAGGAAAGGGTCCTCAGCTCTTTTTCTTTCTTTAAAATAGGTTCTCCAATGTCATTTATTTCTCAAATTGTCTTCAGATTTTTATTTTCTAGTCAATATATTTTAGATTTACTACCATATTTTACTGATTTCTTAGCTTATTGTTAATTTTTGCATCTGAATCATTCTACCTGTATCCATCTTTTTCTTGCTGAATATGGTAGATATTTCTGGTGTTTACCAGTATCAGACTTTCTTTTATTTCCTGAGCATATAAAAAACTTCACTTTCCATCCATGTGCCTATTTCTGGCCAGTTAGATGTGAGTAGAATAATGTGTGTCACTTTGGGGCTGAGGAAGTGAAAAGCCCTTATGTGAATGTCCATTCTCCTTCTTCCTCTGCTGCAATGGAGGATGGAGGCAGGGGCCTAGTTTTCAGATGGCAGCACAAGACTGAAGCAGCCTGGATCACTGAGTTATCAGCTCTATAGAGTTACCTGGACTACAGAAAATTTTGCCTGAAGAAGATATAAACTTTTGCTGTGTTAAGCCACTGAGATGTGGGGATTGCTTGTTATTGCAGCATATGCCTATCCTATCCTGACTAATGCACTGAAGTGTATCCTTTAATTATGCTTTTAGTAAGATAGTAACTTAGTCCTTGTGTGTCTGAAGATTTCATTAATTCATTCTCACTCTTAATTGATAATTTGGCTGGGTTTAGAAGTTCAGTTTACAATTATTTTTCCTGCTGCATTTTATCTTTTGATAGGTATTACTGTTGATGCAATAATGTTATGAGTCTGATTTATCTTTTCTCCATGATGGTTTTAACATTTTATCTTTATCCTTGATGTTCTATAATTGCATTGTGATGTTTTTAGGTTTGAATTTCACCAAATTTTCTATGCTGCTATAGCAAACTTCTGAGCTGATAGAAAAATGTCTGATCTTTGTCATAGGAGACTAGGACATCATTGGACAAGGCATTAACTGAAGCAGAAAAGAGAAGAAAAAGCCAAAATGTAAAAGAAAGTTGTACACTGAAGAGGTTATGAATGGAAAAACATCCTATATTCATGGATTGGAAGACCTAATGTTGTTAAGATGGCAGTGAGACCCAGACTGGTCTATGGATTCAACTCAATCTCTACAAAAATTCCAGCTGGTTTCTTTGTAGATATTGATAAGTTGATCCTAAAATTCATATGGAAATTCAGCAGATCCAGCATATCCAAAATAATCTTGAAAGAGAAGAACAAAGCTGGAGGACTCACACTTCCTGATTTCAAAACATATGACCAAGCTACAGTAATCAAGATAGTGTGGTACTGGCTAAGGATAGACTTATAGATCAAGAAAATAGAATTGAGGATCAAGAAATAAAACCCCAAATTTGTAGTCAACAGATTTCAACAGGGTACCAAAACAATTCAATGGGGAAAGAATAGTTTTTCCAGTAAGTGATGCCAGGACCACTGCATATCCATATGCAAAATAATGAAGTTGGACCCCTACCTCACACTATATATAAAAATTAACTCAAAATAGATACAGTTCTAAATGTAAGAGCTAAAATTATAAACTCTTAGAGGAAAACAAAGATGTAAATCTTCTTGATCTTGGATTAGGCAATAGTTTCTCAGGTATGACACCAAAAGCACAAGCACCAAAAAAAAAAAAAAAATATATATATATAAATTGGACATCATCAAAATTAAAAACTTTTGTGCTTCTGAGAACACCATCAAGAAAGTGAAAAGACAACCCATAAAATGCAAAAATTTTTTGAAAATCACACATCTGATAAAGGACTTGTATCTAGAATATATATAAAAAAACTCCTACAACTCAATAATTAAACAGATAAATAACTTAAAGATGGGCAAAGGATCCAAATAGACATTTCTTCATGCAAATGAACAATAAGCACATGAAAAAATGCTCAACATCTTAGCCATCAGGAAGATACAAATTGAAACAACAATGAGATACCCATTATACACACTAGGATGGCTATAATTTAAAAGACAGTTAATAATAACAGAGAGGATGTGGAAAGATTGAAACCCTCATACACTGCTGGTGGGAACAGAAAATGGTTCAGCTGCTGTGGAGAATACTCTGGCAGTTCCTCAAAAGTTTAAATATAGAGTTACCATATGACCCAGCAATTCCACTCTTAGATACATACCTAAAAGAAATGAAAACATATGTTTCACCCAATAACTTGTGCATGAATGCTCATAGCAGTATTATTCATAATAGCTAGAAGTAGAAACTACTCAAGTGTCCATCAATGATAAGTGGATAAACAAAATGTGCTATAGGTACAATGGAATATTATTTTCAACAAAAAGGAATGAAGTGCTGATACATGCTACAACATGAATGAACCTATAAAACATTATGCTATGTGAAAGAAGTCACAAAAAACCACACATCATAGGATTCTATTTATATGAAATACCCAGGATAGGCAAATTCATAGAGACAGAAAGTAGTTTGGTGGTTGCCTAGAACTGAGGGGGCTGGAAAGAAATGGGAACTGACTGCTAAAGGTTACAGGATTTCTTTTGGGGGTGATTAAAATGTTTTAAAATTGATTGTGATAATGGCTGCAAAACTCTGAATATACTAAAAACCATTGAAGTATACACTTCAAGCGGATGAGTTGGATGGTATATGAATTATATCCCGATCAAGCTGCTATTATAGAAAAGACTATGAAGGGTCACACCTTGGGAAGCCCAAGTATGATACCAAGTCCCAGAGGAAAGCACAAGGCTGAGAATGGGGAGTGAAGCCAGGAAGACTGGAGCCACGTAGACATAGAAACGGAGCCAGAGATGATGAGAAACTTGGGCTGGAGCAAATTAAGGAGATTCTAGAGCAGATGAAGGTGAAAGTTCACTTTTATTGGGGACTGGTCATTTGGTATGTGGGTGGGTCAGCTCAACTGAAATAAATACTGTATTTCTCAGTGTATCAGCAGCCTAATTCTGGGGCTTGTAGCCCCTCTCTTCCTCGTCAATAATCCATAATGCAGATTCTCCCTACTCTTGATTTCCTAGAGATGGAGGAGAAGCTGACCTGTTTCTCCATAGGCTACTAAATAACAATAATAATAGCCCACACTGAACAGTTACTGTGTGCCAGGCATAGTTTTCCAAGGTGCTTTACATTACTGACCCATTTAATCCCTCATAACAAGCCCACGGCGTAAGTAACATCATTATCCTTATTTTACAGATGAGAAAACTGAGGCATGGAACAGCTAGGTATCTTGCCCCAGGTCAGATGCCTCGTGAGTGGAAAGAATTGGTTTTGGTCTTAGTTGGGATAACTTGGTGAAGCACATTCATTTTCATCAAGGCATCACAGTGGATTGAAGACAACTGTGGTTTCTCGGTTGCCTAGTTCAGCCCGTAGGGTTTTGGACGCACCTGCACTCCAGTAAGGCAAGGTTGGTGTGTGAGTCCCAACTCCCACCAAGGCCCCACAACCTCCTGCCATTTCCAGGGAATGTCAGTTAGAAAAAAGGGAGACAGAAATAAATGTGGCCACTACAGCCAAATCACAGCCCCGGACCTAGGAGCAGAGCAGAGAACCCATCCAGAGCACTTGTTCACTCACTCATTCAAACATTTACCAAGTGACTTCTTGCTTCATGGGCAGGGACTGGGAATATATAGAGAGAAGGAAAACAGGGGAGATGTTTCGGAGGAACTCCAAGGCATGGCTCGGTGTGATTACCTTCACATATTGGGGGCGGCCCTTCAAACTGCAGGTAAGTTCCAAGTTTGCAGGTCAGGATTTCATTCCCAACTAAGGTAAAGCCAGGGAGGCACCTGTAGCGTACGATGTCACCTGTCAAGGAGAGACCAGTATGGGGATTCCCTGGAGAAGTCTGGGCAGGGCTGACTGGCACCCCTTAGTAGCTTGAACCCACTTCCAGGCAAGACGATCAGTGGCGGGTTGTGCTCTGTTCAGACTAAATTACTAGCTCAACTCCAGTCAGATGACCCAGATGACTGTGGCTCCCCTCTCACAGCTCAGCCTTGCTGGGCCTAGCAGTGTTGCACATTCTAGGAACTTTTTATAGTGCCTTGCATGGACTTATTTCTCAAAACATCCTGACTCGAGGAAGAAAACTGCTTTCCTAGCTCCTCTGGCTACGTATGGCTAAAAACAAAAGTGATTGTATTTTGGGTGAAACTCAGTTGACAGAACATCAACCCTCTTGCACTGGGCCTGTTGTTTCTCTCCAAGGACAGGAGGCAGAGATAAGCCCCACGGGCCAGGCCCCACCCCTCCCCGGCCCCTCCTCGCCAGCCCCATCCTTGTTGGTTTGGGAGGTCTAACCTATGTTGAATTCTTCATTCTCTGTGACGACTTCAGCATTGGGGAGGATGGTGGGAGGAGGGCATTTGGTGAGCGGATAAGCTGAAAAGACAAAAGCAGACAAGTCGGTGTAAGAGCGTCATTCTTGGGGCACGTGGTCATTCATTTGTTCAGTGCTTCACGTTCTCACTCCTCATCTATCCACACAGCAGATATTAACGAGTACTTATCTGTACACAGGGCAAGATTAGCAAAGCACTATTTTGCTTATCTGCTGCCATCTGTTTTTATTTGCTTTTGATGCAAAACCAGGAACCATATATCAAGAGTAACAATAAAGGAGAGGATCTAAGAAGGCAGTGACGGTGCCTAGCGCTGAAGGGAGGGGAGAGAAGCATTTACTGAACACCTGCTATACGCCAAGCATTTTCACACGCTGTCACCTTGAATTCTCACAATAGCTGATCCCCCTGAGAGATGTTCCCACTCTGCTTACGAGGAAGCTAAGATTCAGAAAGCTTCAGTTACTTCTCTAAGGTCACACAGGAAGTAAGTGGCACAGACAGGATTTGAATCCAGGTCTGGCTGCTCTCAAATCCCATATTCTTTCCACTACTCAGCATCTAAATGCTGTGTGTGGCTTACGTGGGGGACCAGCAAAGACAGCTTGTTTCTCTTCTGACCTTTGGCTAAACACTCTGGCTTCAGTGGATTTTCTAAATCAGAAGCCGTCCCTCTGGGCAGAGGCTGGCCTGTGTGGGGAGGGTGTTACCGAGGCAAAGTTCAGGGTGGGCTCATAACTTGGCTTTCTTTCATTATCTGGTACGTGGCTGAGTGCTGGATGTGTCAGCTGCTGTTGCCACTGATGTTGCTGTTATTATTTCCAAAGTCACTTCAACCCTTGCTATGTTTTTTGAAATAGCATTTTTTTAAATTTACAAATGTAACACATTATCATTACTCTTCTATGAGAAGAGTAAGAGGAAAATTAAACTCATCCATTGCCTTCTCAGAGAGAACCACTGTTAACCCTTTACTGTAAATTCTTAGGGTATATATTTTCTGCACATAGATTTTTCTTTTACAAAATTTGCACCATGTGACATACTTTGTGTTGGTCCTTGTGCACTTACTATTATATTGCAAGAATTTTCCCATGTCATCACATTCCTTCAAAAGTATGATTGAAATGACTTCATAGGATTTAATCATATAATCTACTAAAATTTATTTAACAGATACTCTATTGTTAACAATTTAGATTTCCAAAGTTTTGCAATTTAAAATGAAACTGTGATGAACATCCTTCTATATATGCATCTTTTATGAAGTTTTTTCTTTTTATAAAACTAGGAATGATTAGAGTGTATGACTTTTTTTTTTTTTTTTTTTTTTTTTTTTTTTTGCGGTACGCGGGCCTCTCACTGTTGTGGCCTCTCCCATTGCGGAGCACAGGCTCCGGACACACAGGCTCAGCGGCCATGGCTCACGGGTCCAGCCGCTCCACGGTACGTGGGATCCTCCCGGACCGGGGCACGAACCCGTGTCCCCTGCATCGGCAGGTGGACTCTCAACCACTGCGCCACCACGGAAGCCCGAGTGTATGACTTTTTTAAACTACAGGCATCTCTCACTGAACATCAATAATCCATTCCTGGAAATCAGACATTCTGTGTCAAGATGCTACTAGGAGCCTACTTCCCATTACTTTAAATGGGAAAAAATTATAATGCATAACCCAAGACCCAAAAAGTACTGAAAACTACAAAATACCTATACATATGCAACAAACCACTATGCTAGAAGGTAAATACTTAAAGCATCACTTCATGATCACCCAATGATTAGTACATGTGTAACAAAACAGCAGTTCTATGCGTTGCGTATTGCACCATGAACATTGCAGACTTTTCAGCTTGAGACAGAAACCTTAGGCAGAAACAAAGGCTAAATACGAAAGGCACGGCGAGAACGTGTTTGGGACAGTGCTGGGTGGTGGATGTTTCACAGTGAACATCATCGCCCTGGGAGAACCTCAGAGCCAGTGGCACCTGAAACACCTGTTCCACATGTTCATGTGGCATTCTGACATTTTACCAATCGTATCTGGAACGTAACTTAAGACTCCTCCTGCATGTAGTTTTATTTAAAATGTCGTATTATGTTTTGAGGATTTAACTTTAATTTTTTCTACAGATGTGTCCACTGAAACACGTCATATTGAGTGACACATAGCTTTATGAAGCCCTCTTGGGGTAACCAGACAGGTTTAATCTTGATTTAACATAAACCAGGGAGGACCAGGCCTGTGTTTGATACATACTTCCATTTTTCTTTCCAGGAAAATTGCTCCAACAGATACTGTCCACAGAACGACAGTTTCTCCAACCCTGGGTGCTTTCATTCTTCTTTCATCTGATCCTTTTAATGATTATCTATTGGGGGTTTGCCCTGGGTCAGGCACTGTGCTAGGTGTAGATGATGCAAGAGTAAAGAGACACAGTCCTTGCCTCACAGAACTTAGAGCCATCAGGGGAAACAGTCATCAATTTTAATCTTTGTCAACTTGATAGACAGCAAACAGAGTACCACTTCTTTTCTTTTATTGGCATTTGACAACCAGTTAGGCTAAATATTTTTTTCATATGTTACTAGACTCTTTGCATTTTTCTTTTCTTTTTTTTTAACATCTTTATTGGAGTATAATTGCTTTACGATGGTGTGTTAGTTTCTGCTTTCTAACAAAGTGAATCAGTTATACATATACATATGTTCCCATATCTCTTCCCTCTTGTGTCTCCCTCCCTCCCACATTTTTCTTTTTAACTCTATTCATGTCCTTTGCCTCTATTTTTCCTATAAATTTGAAAAACTCTATGTACAATATATTTAAGATTGATCTTTGCCTATTATTTCCCAATTTATCATTTGCTCCCATCTATTTATGACACTCTTTTGACTTGTACAAGCATTAAATGTTTATTTAGCCAATTCTCAATGTTTTCCTTTATAGAGCTTAAAAAAATTTGATTCCTTGCATTCTCAGCCTCATGCTTACCTTTAAAACATACCTTCTAAAACCTTCTAGGACACACTTAACTTTCCCAGAAAAAAAATCAATAAAAGAAATCTCCACCTAAACACCGTGAGGATACTTTATAGTTTGTGGTTATTAGGGTGATCGGGTGATTTCCCATTACATTTTTAAAATTAACTTTTAAAAAATTACAAATTTCTGCTCAATGCAGAAAGCTGGTGGAGTACTGAAAAGCAATAAAACAAAAATTCCCCAAGTCCCACCACCTGGGCACAGCCATTGCTAGCATTTTGGTGTATGACTTTTGATATTTTACAGATAACTCCCCTCCCCTCCCCACCCCCAAACACACACTGCATCTACCATGTTATTGCTGCAGAACTCTAGGGCAGGGGGCCATTCAGGACTCCTGTTTCCTTTTGTCTCCATCTCCCTTATTTCCCTGGGGGGTGAGGCACTGATACAGCTTTGACTCCATTATGTGTTAACATGCTAACTAGTGGGCAGGGCTCATTTGCCTATGTCATCCAAGTTTTACCACTTGTCTCAATAAAGTTTTTAATAGCAAACGCATCCAGTTCAGAACCATACGTTGCATTTCGTTGTCATGTTTCTTAGTCTCCTTTAGTCTGCAACAGTTCTTTCCTTGACCTTCCTGACTTTTACACTTTTGAAAATTATATGCCAGTTAATTTCTAGTATGTAACACTGTATTACATACATTACCCTCAATTTAGGTTTGTCTGATTCCTCATGATTAGATTCAGGTTGTACATCTTTGATGGGACGATTACAGAAGTGATGCTGGGTCCTTCTCACTGCATCCTATCAGGTGGGGTATGATTTCCCCTTTTATTAATCTCTCAGCCAGATAGCTCTTATTTGGAGTCCATGTTACCTAGACTCTTAACGCTGGAAGTAGATGCTTTCCAAAATTTCCTTCTATTTCCTAAACTATAAGTTTCCAAGGGCATTTTTCTCTGCAATTCTAATCCGATTTTGTCATTAAAAAAAATACTGTAGAATATTGCCATAAGTCTCCTTAAGGTATTTTTCTTCTTTTTGGTTCTCATATGAAAGGAAATTTATTTAGGGCTAATGTTTGGCTATAAAAAGGCAAACATTCTTTCCCCCATCCCATTCCCAATCCCTGCTCTTTGCAAGTCGGCCTCCTGCTTTTTCTTCAGTTCTAGTCTCAAATACCAACTCTTAAGACACATTTTCCCCAATTATTCTACATGAAGTAGATCCTCTGCCTTTTCATTTGCTATCTTACTTTTTTCTTTCATAGCACATATTACAAGTTGCAAAGATTTTATTTGTTTACTTACTTGTTTGTTATCTCTTCTTGGGGGAAGAAAGCTGTATGGGGAGCAGGCATTTCACAGAGCAGGAAGCAATAAACATACTTATTCTTTAATGATAATGAATAGATAAGGAAGATATGAAAGGATGCTCATCCTCATCTTCAACATAAAAGTGAAATGCTATCCCAGGTTGGCAAAAATTTAAAGGTCCAATAAAGCCCAGCGTTTGCAAGGATGTAGTGCAACAGAAGCTCTACCTCTGTTGCTAGGAAGAGTGTAAATTGTTATAACTACTTTGTGTGATCAGTTTGGCATTACCTAGTAAAACTGAATATGTGAATACTTACAACCTCACAGTTCCACACAGGCATGTACCCTAGAGAAACTCTTGTCCACAAGAAGGAATGTACAACAATGCTCAGATTGTTTGAAATAAAATAACTTGAATGCCTATTAAGAGTAGACTAGATAAATCACTATTTTCACTCAATGGAATACTAGACGGCATTGAAAAATGAACTAAATCTAGTCACATGCATCTGCATGGATTTCAAAAGCTTAATTTTGAGTGAAAAAAGCAGGTCACAGAAGAACACTTACTGAACAATTCTATTCACGTAACAGAAATAACATGTGAAATGAAACAGTATATATTTTTGGAGACATACACCTATGGAGTAAAATTATAATGTAAAGCAATGAATGGTCAACAGAAAATTCAGGACCGTGGTTAACTCTGGGGGTCGGGCAGGGGGAACGTGTTGGGGGCGGTGCACAGGGGCTTCCAAGGCACTGGTGTTCTTTTTCTTAGGCTCAGCGATGGGTGTTCATCTTATTCTTCTTTAAACGGCACATGTATGTTACACACAATTTTTACACATTGCTATATTCCACAATTTATCAAAAGCCCTATGAGTGGGTGGAATGTGCCTTCTTGTTCACTCGGCCCCTTGCAAAGAGCCTGTCCCACCCGAGCCCGTTGGCCTGGGCCTAGCAGTAGATCCTCTCGCCCAGGCCCATGTCTGCTCTCTGGTCAATGAGGCCTTGGACCATGTTCTGAGCAAGCACCTGAGGGTCTCATGTCTCATCTGAGGGCATCAGGGGCACAGTGGCCAGGACACACACAGAAGCAAGCGCTCTCCTGGGCAGACTTACTCAGGAGAACTCGGGAACAAGGATGCCCCAGGGCAGGGCTGGGCCTCCTTCACCTGGTCCTGGTGCAGGTGAATGCTGAAGAGCAGGGACCAGAGATCTGGCCTAGGACTGAGGTGATTTCTTAAGGATCCTGTTAATCTCTAAATATAATAATAATGATGATCATGATAATTATTAACACTGCCATTTATTGAGTACCTTTTATACTCTGTGCCTAGAGCTAGGCATTCCCATGCATGATTTCATTTAACTCTGTGAGGTTAGGTACTGATATGATTCCCATTTTGTGGATAATGAAATCGAGGCTCAGAAAGGTAAATGACAGACCCACAGTCACATAGCTAATATGTGGCAGAGATCTGAACCCAAGTCTGTGTGACGCTGGAGTCCACACTCTATCACTCTATGGGCAAGTCACATGGAGTCAGAATGACATAGCCTTCAAGACCTGGGTCCCATTAACGGGGTGTGCCCAACATGAGGGGTGTGGGTACCAAGGCAGATTGAGATGGTGGGTTTCTCATCTCCATATCGTGCTCACCTGGGCCCAAGCTCCTTGGGGACAGCGGCTGGAGCTGCGGATGCTCTCAACAATGTTGTTTCTGTCTTTCTGTCTCGATATCACTAACTCTCCCAAGGACTTAAGGCTGAATGCATTCATATTTCTATAAATGCACGTGTGAGGCAGAAACACCCTGCGGTCCCACTGGAGCAGTCAGTGCAGAGCTACAAGGACTGGGTTCTCCTCCCAATTATAGGCATGCAATTTTGGGCAGGCTCTCCTGCCTTCCTTGGCTCTCATTTCCTCATTTGTAAATTGGGGGTAATAATAGCTGCTTCACTACCTCACAGAATTCTTAGAGGCCACAAACTCCAAGCCCCTCATTCCGCAGGTGAAGAAACTGAGCTCTCAAGCTGGGGACAGACCTACACAAGGTCAGACATTGACTTGAGGTGGAGCCAGGAATAAAGTCAAGCCTTCCTGATTTCCAGTCCAAATAGATGCAATGTTCTGCAAATTGTAAACAAGGGGGGTTATTTCATGGCTGGGAGAACTTTTTGTAAGTTTTTCTATGCTGTGTCCACTATTACAAAAATGAGGAAATACCTGGGTCCATAACCTTGGGCTTTTAGAAGAAAGTAGGCTGTCGATAAGGACAGATGCACCCTGAATTGTTCATGCTCCTTTACTTGAATTCTCCCTGATTTTGTCTGGGCACAGTAGTTCCTGTGGAGTCGACAGAGGCCCTGGATTCCTTTGGAGTGGACAACCCTCTAGAATGTGCTGAGGGACAGGGTGGGGCACAGGTAAAGGGATAACCCAGCCAGGGAGCTGGTGTGAACGATGGATAAGAAAGAAGCCTCACTCTGCTGCCTCTGAACTTGAACTTGGTGCCAAGGATCAGCGTCACGGGCCTCTCCTCCCTACTAGTGTGGAGGGGAAGGAAGAGAGCTCCGGTGCTAGGAGCTCTCACATACCCTACACAATGAATTCTCATAACCCTGAGGAGACCAAGGCAGAGAAGCTATGTTACTCTTCCAAGTCCCACAGCTGGCAAATGCGGGAGCCAGGAGTCAAGCCCAGCACTTGAGAGTCTGCACTCCCCGCCCCCACCCTCCCCCACAGGCTTCCATACTGACCGGAGAAAGCTATGGCGAAGATCCCACCCGCAGCTGCATCACGGTGGAACTTGAGCAGGACCTGGTTGGATGAGCTGTGCATTGTCTTCTTGGCCAAGCTGTGGCTGAAGGTTCCGAGCTGTGGGGCTGTCTGCTGTGGCCCATCCCTGCAACAGGAAAGAAGGTCCTGCATGTCACGGGTCACCATGCCTACCTGTTCCACCTGGTGTGTCAGAGGCCTTCAGTGAGCAAAGAGACATCCCTGTGTTGCCTTCCCTGGAACCTTATCCAGTCCCTCCCATTTGTTCTTAGCTATTGTCTGGAAACTAAATGAGAAATCAATCCAGGGCAGTCAGGTGACAGTTATCCAGCCCTGGAAATTTTGAGAAGAAATCCCATTATTTTCTGCTGACTCCCAGAACCTCCAAACAAAGAAATTTTTAAATTATATCTTTGTCCAAAGATTCAGTGGTTTGGAAAAAAAGCTGTCTAGGATACTGCACTTATCAACTAATAACTCATATTCCCATTTTAAAATTAACTCAAGATATGCTAACTATATAACTCAGAGCTGAGCTGTCCAGTTTGGTAACCGCTAGGCTACATGGGACTATTTACTTTTAAGTTATTTAAATTTTAATAAAGTTTAAAAATCAGCTCCTCAGTCACTCTAGTCACATTCAAGTGCTCAATGGCTACATGTAGAGTGGCTGCCATATTGGACCTCACAGATATGGAATATTTCTCTCACTGTGGACAGTTCTGTGGTCAGCACTGGCTCAGCATGACGTGACCAGTGGGATTTCACAGAATTCCACTCCAAAGCTCTTTCACTAGTTCAGGTAGCTTATCTTAGGTAAATGTAGAATTTTGGTTTGGGCTCTGGAAATATTGAGAAAAGTCAGCTCATCTACGCCCTTTCCCATTCCCACACCCATTAGTACTTTGACCCCCAGCAGGACTCCAGGTTGGGAACCACTGTCTTGCCATTCCTTTCCCTCCAAGGAATCAAAAAGGCTAACTGAAGCTGAGTCATCATTCCACTATGTTTATTTGAGACCCAAGAGCCTGACAGCCATTTAAAACCATTCTGCTCGTGGTATTCTGGACAAATAGATGGGTGACCCAGTTTACAGCCCAGTTAGTGCCCTTTTCTCATTGGATGCTGACATGGCAGCTGGTCCTACCAGACGGTGATGAAGTCTCCAGAGGGCTCCGTCTGTAGCAGGCTGATGTTGAGGCGGATGCCGTGACCAATGGGTACGGTGATCAGCCAGACACAGTCCTGGGAGCTGGAGTAGGGACTGGGAAAGCCCGGGGAGTACACAGTGCCATTGAAAGAGGTGACGTTCCCGCCACAGGGCACTGCCAGGGAGAGGATACACACACAGATGAGTGCTGGAGATCACCTCCCCCCTGAGAATTCAGATGACTTCCTGATGCAGTCCCAGCCCCCAGCACGAACCATCCTGCTCCATGAGGCTGGGCGGGATAGGGAGAGGAGATGGGGCTGAGGGAGGGCCAGGCCTGGCGTTCCCTGCTGTTCCCAACACACCACAGCTCTAGTGGCCCTCCATCTTCAGTGCAGGTCCTCTGTGGGCCTGCCTCAGCCCCTGCCCCCCCTCTTTCTCTTTCTTGTGGAAGAGACCTGTCCAGAAGGAAGGACACATCAAAGCTACCCCCTCTCCTTTCCTAGGAATACTAGAGTCAGGGCTTCAGTACTGTTCTTGGGAAGAGGTAAGAAATTATGATAGTATCTCTTTCTTTCTCTTTTTATTCTGAGATTCTTGGAGTCGGACTTTTGGTCTTGACTTAAGAGTTGTGGATTCTTGTGGTGAGGCTATGGTTGGGTTCAAATTATGGCTAAACCATTAATTGACTACATAATTGACTAGATAAGTGTAGCCTCTCTTTCTTCACCTAGAAGATGGGACTAAGACTTCGCTCCTCATAGGATCGTGGTGGCAATCAGATGAACTGCTCCGTGTAAAATGCTCAGCCAGTGCTAGCTCACGGAGGAGGCATCTGCTACATAGACATGAGCCTCTCTCCCTATCTTTCTGTCTCCCCAGAGCAAACTTACACTTAGACTTACTCTGATCTAGGCTTTAGGCAGGGGTATAAAGAGTCCTGGAAGTCTCCATGGTATTTGGATTTAATCACCATGGAGGAGAATAAAAAGAGGTTCTGGGCAAAAAAAAAAACCCAAAACAAAAAAAACCCTGGTCCAGAATAATAAGTGTATTGGTTGGCATGGGTCATCACACAGAGATATGGATGGGGCCGGACCAGGCTGAGAAGAAAGAGTCCCAATGCCTCCAAGCGGCGGCCAGGGTTCCTGCGAATGTGAACGCATCCTGAAGCTGGTGCACATGGGCATGCCACCCCTCCTCCATGTACTGAACCTCCATCTGGTGCCAGGCATGGCCAGGGGAGGCAAAGGACAGCAAGGATACCACGGCACGTGATTCTGATCTGTGAGTGTGTCCCAGGGGACTGTGAGTGCCCTGGGACACAGCTAAGCGTACCGGCATCTCCAGCCCAGGGTGGAGCAGGCCATCAACATGGAATGCCACAGAACATTTAGGGGGGGGCCCTCATCTGGTCCTGTGAGGGGGTGAGGGAGTCCTGTCAGAATTCACATTTAGACTCAGACCTGACGGATGACAAGGGCCAAACAGGTAAGGCAGGAGAGAAGAGCAATGTTCTATAAGAAGGGGCCAGCATGTGCTCAGAACCAGGGGCCAGAGAGGACGGCACATGGTGAAATGGAAAGTATTTCAGCTGAGCTGGAGCGTAAAGTCTGAGAGAGTGGAGAACAGGGGGAGGTAAGTGGGGACCAGGCCCTGAGGCACACCGTGTGCTACCCCAAGGGGGTTGGATGCTACCCCAAGGGAGATGGGGACGCCTTACTAGCTTCTGAGCAGGGCAGTGTCTGGAGTACACGAGTGGCTTCAAAGGCTCATCCTCACTACGCTGTGAAAGGTGGATTGAGGGACACAGACTGAAGGCTGGGCGCCCGGTGACGAGCCTCATCTAAGCGGCCTGGGTTAAGGTGGAGGCAGCACACAGAGAGAAGTGGATGCATTTGAAGGGCAATTAGGATGTAGAATTAGCAAGACTTGGTGACTAGGTCGGATAAGGGAGAGGGAGCCTGCCCAAACTGAAGGCTGAATAACCAGGGGACTAGAGGCACCCTTCACTAGATGAGGATCTCAATGTAAAGGCAGAAAGACAATGACTTCCATTTTGAACACGCTGGGATTTAGATGCCTCTGGATAGGAGAAGATATTCAGTAAGGAATTGGATGTACAGGTGAAGAATTCAGGAAAGAGACAAAGGTTGCAGATACAGATGGCATGTGGAGATGTGAGGGAAAGAAGACAGTCTGGGAAAAAAATCCAAAGGACAGCAACACTTAAGGGACAAAGAAATAGATGACCAAAAAGTTAGCACAGGCAGAAAGGTAATTGGAAAAGCAAGAGAAGATGGCGTCTAAGAAGCTAAGGGAAGAGGGCTTCCTTGGTGGTGCAGTGATTAAGAATCCGCCTGCCAGTGCAGGGGACACGGGTTTGAGCCCTGGTCCGGGAAGATCCCACATGCCGCGGAGCAACTAAGCCCGTGCGCTCCAACTGCTGAGCCTGTGCTCTAGAGCCTACATGCCACAGCTACTGAAGCCCACGCACCTAGAGCCCATGCTCCACAACAAGAGAAGCTACCCTAATGAGAAGCCCATGCACTGCAACAAAGAGTAGCCCCCGCTCACCGCAACTAGAGAAAGCCCGTGCACAGCAATGAAGACCCAATGCAGCCCAAAACAAACAAACAAATAAATAAAAGAAGCTAAGGGAAGAACTTTCTTAGGAGGGAGAAGGGATTGTGGCTCAAGATGTCTAATGGAGGAAGCACTGCTCGTTCCTCTCTCCTGTGATGCCATATAAAGGAGTAAAAAGGGAACAAAAGTCCACAATGAAGCTTGTCATATAGCAGGTGACCAGCCAACAATTCCAGGATGATGGACTAGTTATACACGAGGATGGTTCTGAAAATCTGAAAAACGAACTGGAAGTTGAATAGTTTTAGAGATTATGATCTTATATTCCAACACCAGAACAGCTCAGTTGTGCAAACAAGGTCTCTTTATCTATGGAGAGTTAATACTTCCAGCTCATCGTTTCTGGGCCAGTTACTGCACTGGGTGCTTTACATGAGCCATCTTGCGACCCTCGCAGCTCTTACGAAGCAGAGGTGAGAAGCTCCATTGTACTAAGGAAGAAACTGGAGGTCAGAGAGGTGAAGTGGTTCAGAATGAAGCCCAGGGCGGTCTGATTCTGGAACTGGGGTGTTTTCTCCTGGACTATACTGTCCTCCTGCCATATTTTCCCCTTTCAAGACAAATCCCAGCTTCTCCTCCAGGAAAAGGAAGGAAAATGGAACTGAGGTGTGCAGACAGGGGTAGGGACAGCATGACCTCCTGGTCCTTCTCCATCCTGGTTCTGGTTAATGAAGACCCAGGAAAGTGCCACCTCTAGCTCCCTGATATCATCAACTCAGATCTCTCTAGGCTCGTGTAGGAGAGGGAGAATAAGCTGGGAGGTGTTTCTAGAAAACAAGAATTTCCTAGAAAGATGCTTTATTCTCTCCTCCCTTTAGGAAAGTGCCATGATTACCTCTCTCTACCCCTCAGCATATCAGTGTCTTCCCTTCTGACTGGGGACATCTAACCCACAAGGTTGGCTATTCCCAAGGGCTGAGTATGTATTCCTTTGGCTGCGACCCACATCTCTTCCAGGTCCTCCCTAGTGCTGGCCCAGAACTCTGTCCCAGGACCCTCTTCCTGGATAGGCTTGGTCTCATCTCTATGGAAACAGGATGGACAAAGTTTGCCAGGACCTCCCAGCATGGGTGATCCCATGGGGCGGGCACGTGGAGGCTGGGACTACTCAGGATCAGTGTCCCTAAAAAGAATCACCAGGGATGAGGGAGGGACATACCTTCACACCTGGGCAGGGGGTGGTCCCAGTTCCGGTTGGTGCCGTGTTGACATGTGAGGACAGGGTGGCCCATCAGTTGATACCCTGGGAGGCACTCGAAGGTCACCGACTGCCCAACATTGTAGCCAGCTCCCCGCACAATGCCATTCGCAAAGGGCTCGGGGTCTGGGCACTCTTGAAGTTCATAGGCTGGAAAAGATCACGAGAGAAGATTACTTTCTCCTCTCTGGGCATTTTCTCCCTGACCAGAATATAGGCATACCAGGGAGTTAGCATAGTGGTGGAGGACCAAGACATGGACTCAGATGGGCCTTCCTCATTTTCTAGCTATTGGCTTTGGGCAAATTATTTAAGTTCTCTATGCCTTTGTTTTCTTATTTAGAAAATGGTTATTGTGAGAATCCAGTAGGATCAAATATACACAGCTCTTTGCACAGTCCTGGCACATGGTGAGAACGTAATCAATGCTATCTGTTATTATTGTTTCCATGGGAATAGGGGACCCAAGGAAGACAAGGCTAGATTGAACCATTCTTCTTCTTTTTTTTTTTTTAAACATCTTTACTGGAGTATAATTGCTTTACAATGTTGTGTTAGTTTCTGCTGTATAACAAGGTGAATCAGCTATTCGTACATATATATCCCCTCCCTCTTGCATCTCCCTCCCACCCTCCCTATCCCACCCCTCTAGGTGGTCACAAGCACCGAGTTGATCTCCCCGTGCGATGCAGCTGCTTCCTACTAGCTATCTATTTCACGTTTGTGAACCATTATTCTTTGAGCACCTCACTGGGGCTCAGCATTCACCTCCGCTCTTTCCTGTTGCTGATCTCATTCAACCACCAAGGTCACAAACACAGGAAGTGGTCAGGTGAGGACATGAGTGGGGCCCTTCTAACTCTGAGAAATAAGAGCCCATCAGGAGGGAAGAAATGGGGTGGGAGGAAGCCAAACCTGCGGCAAAGGACAGAATAGCTGGGGTAAAAGTCCCTCTAAAGAACAAGGAAGTTGCTTCCCTGAGTCTGAGTGTGCCTGCCTCACACTCCTTAATGGGAGCGGCTGAGTCCTGGCCCACCACGAGAAGTCGTTGAGGGATTTGCTAAGCATGTCACAGAGCAGAGCCTTCACTTAACTGGACAGTAACTGGGCTCACCAGACAGAAAGTCAGCCATGGGAGTAGAGGGAGCATTCCAATAGTGGAAATTCTCAGGGGGGGTAGCTGAGACCCAGTGAATGCTCCATGCAAGCCGGAGCACTCATCACGTGCAATAACAACACGAATGACAGTCATCACGAGAGTGCCGTTGCTGAAGTTCTCCCTCTGTGATGGTGGCTATTATGTATTTCCTTTCAGTACCGTGCAGGGAGGTCTCTGTGGGAAGAACTGGGCAGGTTTCACTGGACATCATCAAGTAGTTGGCTGTGTTGAAAAAGCGAGCAGTTCTAGAGAGAGTGGGTGGGCTGGTCAGCCAAAGGGAACATGGCTCTGTTAGCAGCAGAGGGTTTGGACAACCTGGCAAATAAAGTCTTAGTAGAAGTAGGGAGCCTGTAGCTCAGGGAGGTGACTGAATGGATGAATTGGGCTTGTGGGTTTTTTTTTGGTAAAATATTTCATTTATTTATTTATTTATTTTTGGCTGCGTTGGGTCTTCGTTGCTGTGTGCAGGCTTTCTCTAGCTGAGGCGAATGGGGGCTACTCTTCGTTGCAGTGAGCGGGCTTCTCATTGCGGTGGCTTCTCTTGTTGCGGAGCATGGGGTTCTAGGCACATGGGCTTCAGTAGTTGTGGCTCGCGGGCTCTAGAGCGCAGGCTCAGTAGTTGTGGTGCACCAGCTTAGCTGCTCCGTGGCATGTGGATCTTCCTGGACCAGGGCTCAAACCCATGTCCCCTGCATTGGCAGGTGGATTCTTAACCACTGCGCCACCAGGGAAGTCCGAGCTGGGCTTTTAAAGAGAAGCCTCGGTGGGAACAGGGGGACCCAATGATGGGGAGGAGCCTGAAGACCGAGGCCTCATGAGAAACCAGAAGCAGCCTGGAGGAGAGAAGCTGGGTCTTTCTTACAGGAATTGTCTCCAGTGGAAGGAGCTGGGCTTTTCACAAAGAGAGACCCTGAAGTGAGGGTACCAGGACTGCTTTCACAGGGAGAGAAGTCTCAGAGCCCGTTCCACCACAGGAAGCTTCAAAGGGAGAAGTTGATGAACTAGAGACTGTCATACAGAGTGAAGTAAGTCAGAAAGAGAAGAACAAATAGCGTATAATATTGCTTATATATGAAATCTAGAAAAGTGATACAGATGAACTTATTTGCAAAGTAGAAATAGAGACACAGATGTAGAGAACAAATGTATTGATACCAAGGGGGGAAAGGGGGAGTGGGATGAATTGGGAGATTGGTATTGACATAGACACACTATGTATAAAATAGATAACTAATGAGAACCTACTGTATAGCACAGGGACCTCTACTCAGTGCTCTGTGGTGACCTAAATGGGAAGGAAATCCAAAAAAGAGGGGATATACATACATATATATATATATATATATATATATATATAGCTGATTCACTTTGCTGTACAGTAGAAAGTAACACAACACACTGTAAAGCAACTATACTCCAATAAAAATTAATTAAAAAAAAAAAAAGGGAGAGGTTGGGCCTAGAGGGCAGACGTGACCCCTAAGAGGTGGACTCATTAACTTTCCCGGGAAAGGGCTCTGTAGGGAGACTAGTAGTAGATGCTCCAGTGGGAACAGATACAATTTCAAACAAAGCGCCATGTTAAAAATACTAATAATGATGATGTCTAACATTTTGGAACAATGTCATCATTTTGCTAAGTTCTTGTGTTTTTACAATCTCCTGAGAAATTTTAGTGGAATAAGTTAAGCCTGTCAGACTAGGAGACCTGGGTAGGAGTAGCTTATGCTGTTACTGAAAACTTTATGGGAATATTTACCTGAAGAAGGGAAAGGAGAACCCCAGCCGAGGATGTTCAGAGTGTCTAACAGGAGGGATTCTGAGGAAAAGTAAGGATTTGGATTTCTTCCAAAGAAAGTCAAGGGACCACAGAGAGCTAGGCCTGCTCTATAGAAATGGCGGCTGTGGTGACAGGTGGCTCTTTCATGAAGCAGGTCTTTTCATAAAGGAAAAACCTGGGGTGAGTGGTCAGGCTAAAGAATGTGGGTCTATGGGGCAGGGAGGATTATTTGGGCCTGACACATTGGGAGGCCTTGGTGGGAGCACCTGGGCCTCTGGCACTAGAGACAACCTAGTTGGGAGGTTGGGGTCATCATACACGAGAAGGCTTAATGGAAGCTGAGGTCAGGTCTGAGGGGGGCAGCTGCCCTGACACCAAGAGTGGCTCCGCAGGGGCCGTCAGGACCGGGGCAGTGGGCAGGTGCCGAGGAAAGAGCTGGACCTGTGACCCAAGGGAAGCCTCAAGGGGAACTGCCAGGCAAGTGCTGGGGTAAAATGTGAGAGGGGAGCTGGGCTACCACAGAGTGGAAACCCCAGTGGACATCGCTGGGCCTCTCACACAGTTGGGCCAACTCAGGTGAAGGGGTTGGTCCTCTGAAGGCAAACTTACCACCCCTCCTCCCTGCTTCCACCCCTGCCCCCCGCCACACACACAGCGAGCATCCTCAAGAAACCGGCTTCCTCTCAACATGTGGAGCCTCGGTGTGTGTGGCGCTAACCCAGAGTGCCGGCCTGTGTCTGGAAGCCTTAGTGCAGGGCCCGTGTGCAGAGGAGCCTCAGGTGAAGCTCCTCAGAGGTGAGGGCTTGGTGAGCATGGGAGGGGCTGAGACCAGGGCTCTGTGGGGGTAGTTAGGTCTCTTCTACAGGGAGGGAGTCTGCAGGACTCAGAGGGCAGCTTTGACAAGGACTAAGTGGACTTAACACGTGGGGAATGCAGCGAGAGTGTCTAGTCTCACCACGCAAGCTTGGCGGGCAGGGCTGTGCCCGTCACAGGGGTGAAGGCACAGGGCACGGGTGGGCCCCAGAGCGGCTGTCCCTGTCATGATGGTGGCGTAATCAGACCTTGCATGTATCCGAGAGGAGGAGCCTCAGGGAGAGCCCTTGGGCCTGAAAGAGGATGTTACAAGTTGAATTGTGTCCTCCGTAAATTCACATGTTGAAGTCCTAACCCACCCCTGTGTCTCAGAACGTGACCTTATTTGGAAACAGCGTCTTCGCCTGCCTTTACCTAAATTAAAATGAGCCCGTTAGGGTGGGCTCTATTCCAATATGACTGGTGTCCTTATACAAAGGGGAAATTTGGAAGAAAAGGAAATAAAAGGAATCCAAATCGGAAAAGAAGAAGTAAAGCTGTCACTGTTTGCAGATGACATGATACTATACATAGAGAATCCTAAAGATGCTACCAGAAAACTACTAGAGCTAATCAATGAATTTGGTAAAGTAGCAGGATACAAAGTTAATGCACAGAAATCTCTGGCATTCCTATATACTAATGATGAAAAATCTGAAAGTGAAATCAGGAAAACACTCCCATTTACCATTGCAACAAAAAGAATAAAATATCTAGGAATAAACCTACCTAAGGAGACGAAAGACCTGTATGCAGAAAATTATAAGACACTGATGAAAGAAATTAAAGATGATACAAATAGATGGAGAGATATACCATGTTCTTGGATGGGAAGAATCAACATTGTGAAAATGACTCTACTACCCAAAGCAATCTACAGATTCAATGCAATCCCTATCAAACTACCACTGGCATTTTTCACAGAACTAGAACAAAAAATTTCACAATTTGTATGGAAACACAAAAGACCCCGAATAGCCAAAGCAATCTTGAGAACGAAAAAAGGAGCTGGAGGAATCAGGCTCCCTGACTTCAGACTATACTACAAAGCTACAGTAATCAAGACAGTATGGTACTGGCACAAAAACAGAAATATAGATCAATGGAACAGGATAGAAAGCCCAGCGATAAACCCACGCACATATGGACACCTTATCTTTGATAAAGGTGGCAGGAATGTACAGTGGAGAAAGGACAGCCTCTTCAATAAATGGTGCTGGGAAAACTGGACAGGAACATGTAAAAGTATGAGATTAGATCACTCCCTAACACCATACACAAAAATAAGCTCAAAATGGATTAAAGACCTAAATGTAAGGCCAGAAACTGTCAAACTCTTAGAGGAAAACATAGGCAGAACACTCTATGACATAAATCACAGCAAGATCCTTTCTGACCCACCTCCTAGAGTAATGGAAATAAAAACAAAAATAAACAAATGGGACCTAATGAAACTTCAAAGCTTTTGCACAGCAAAGGAAACCATAATCAAGACCAAAAGACAACCCTCAGAATGGGAGAAAATATTTGCAAATGAAGCAAATGACAA